TCGCCAAGTTGCCCAGGCAGGTCTCAAACCCGTGGGCTCAGGCAATCCACTCACCTCAGCTTCCCAAAGTGCTGGTATTACAGGCTGAGCCACCGAGCCTGGCTCATGTTTTAATATTGATACATATGGAAATGATATTTTTGATATCTTAGGTCATATATAATGTACTATTAAAATTAATCAGCCAAGCACTGTGGCTCATGCCTGCAATCCCAGCACTTTGGGAGGTGGAGGCAAGAGGACTCCTGAGTCCAAAATTCAAGACCAGCCTGGGCAACTTGGCAAAACTTCGTTATCTGCAACAAATCAAAAAATTAGCCAGGTGTGGTGGTGCACACCTGTGATTCCAGCTATTTGGAAGGCTGAGGCAGAAAGATCACCTGAGCCCAGCAGGTTGAATCTGCAGTGGCCATGAATATGCCATTGCACTCCAGCCTGGGTGTCAGAGTAAGACTCTGACTAAATAAATAAATAAAATTAATTTTACCTGTTTCTATTTTTGTAATGTTGCCACTAGAAATATTGGCTTGCATTAAATTTCTATTAGACAGCACTGATCCAAGAGCTTCAAAACTGGGAGCAGTTTTACCCTTTTAAGTAGTGCTGGGAAATGGTGGGGGCCATTTTTGGATGTCACAGTGACAGGGAACAAATAGTAAGTCCCCTATGTAGGAACCTTGAAGTTGTGAACTTTCCGAGATGCAAACATGTGTTCACATGTCCAATCACATAAGTTAGTTCATGTGCCTGGTGTACAATGTGGCATGCATGCATCATCTACAAATGGTTGCGCTTTTGTGTACTTTACTGTACAGTACTGCATAGAGTACAGTAGTACAGTGTCTTTATTTCAAGCCCAGGATGTCCGGAAGCAAACATAAAAGCAGCAGTGATGTGGCTGTTACTGTACAGTGGATTGTGTTAGTTGGGTGCCTAGGCTAACTTTGTTGGGCTTATGAACAAATTGGACTTATGAATGCACTCAGAATGGAACTCATTCATATGTAGGGAACTTACTGCACTGGTATTTGGTGAGTGAGATCCAGGAATGTAAGCATCTACCATGCACTATCTAAACAAGGAGGATTTTAAACTGAGGATATGGAGGCCCAAAGAAAGGAAGTGATGTGTCCAAGCTCACACAGGGAGTAGGTTAAAAGGTTTTGGTAGGAAAAGATATTGTTTAATCTACTCATTTTGAGTGCCACATCTCTGCCCAGGGAGCTGCCTTCCACAGCTTATTCAGGGCATGGCGTCCCTGAAACCCAGAGGGAGGGGATACCCCAAGAAGCCAACTACCACCTTTAGGTAATCCCTGTACCTGAGGCTAACCTCATGGGGGGCAGTCATTCTCTCTCACCCTGTGTTTGTGGAGGTGGAAGCAGCTTCCCCACGCAAAGTTCAAATTTGAAGTTAGATGACTTGGATTGGAATCCAAACTCTTCACTTAGCAGCAACTTGGGAAAGTCATTCCATTTCTCCAAGTCTGTTTGCTCATCTGTTGTGACAAGGATGACATCCTGTGAACAATTTTGCTGTGACACTTGTTGCACTATTGCATGATCTTCTTGTTGACTGTTGTAATCATTTGGCACTAAGCCTCTTACAGATTGGGGACTTGTTCATTCATTTACTCATTTAGTGAATATTTACTGAGCACATATTTTGTGCCAAGCACTATCCAAGACCTTGCTGTTATACTGGTTTTAAGACCAGACGAGATTCCTTCACTCATAGAACATAGTGTTTTCTAGTAGAAGCAGATTGGCTGTGGACAAGAGCACAAACAATAAGAAAGAAAAATATTAATGATCAGCTGTATATAGATAGAATGGATTAATTAGTTAATTAATTTAGAGATGGAATCTTGCTCTGTTGCCAAGCCTGGTGTGCAGTGGTGTAATCATAGGTCACTGCAACCTCAAACTCCTGGGTTCAAGTGATTCCCCCACTCAACCCCACAGTTGGTAGGACTACAGGAGTGCACCACCATGCCTGGCTAATGTTTAAATTTTTTTGTAGAAACAGGATCTCTCTACATTGCCCAGGCTGGTCTCCAACTACTAGCTTCAAGTGATCCTCCCACCTCAGTCTCCCAAAGTGCTGGGACTCAGGTATGGGTCACCACACCCAACCTGTAGCGAGAATTTAAATAGAGAAAGGCAATATAAAGAGACAAGTGTCTACTTTAGATAGAAGAAGCTTTTCTCTGGACATAGCATTTAACTGAGACCAAAAGACAAAGAGTAGCAACCCATGGATCAGGAGAAACAGAATTCCAGGCAGCAGATGCAGAGGCCTATTTGAGGAGCCCTCTAGGTCTGGAGCATCGTGTGCAAATGAGAAAGCAGCCCAAGTAGTGGGGGGTAGTATCACAGAGTCCCCTCTGATCTTGAAAGGCTTTATGAAGCAGAGTAAGAGGCTAGGATTTTTATCCCACGTGTGATGGAAGGTTGTTGGAGGGTTCTAAGCAGGGGAAGCATGTGATATGATTTACACTTTAAAGAGATTTCTTTTTCTGCTGAGTCAAGAGTGGATTATAGTAGGCTAGGAACATCAGTTAAAAAGAAAGTGGTCCAGGCAAGAGATGAGGGTGGTCTGGATTAAGAAGGCAGTGTTGAGACGAAAGGAAATGGATAGAGTTAAGTTATGAGAGTTTCAAGCATAAGACTTTCTGGCTTAGACATGCGGGTGGGCGGTGGCCCATTTATTGAGGTGTTAAAGACTTGGGTGAGAGGAGGTTTGGAGCATAGAAAGACAGAATGCTTTGGGGGAACATTTGAGGTTTGAGATACCAAGAGGCAATTGGTGGTATAGCCATATGATGGGACTATTTTTCAGCCCAAAAAAGGATTAAATTACTGAACCATGCTATATGGATAAACTTCAAAACCAGTATGCTAAGTGAAAGAGCAGATGCAAACGATCATACATTACATAATTCCATTTATATGAAATGGACTAGGCAAATCTGTAGAGACAGAGTATAAATTAGGGTTGCCAAGGACTAGAAATGGGGATGGGGAGTGACTGTCACGGGGCACAAGGGAGATTTTTCCAGGGCTGGAAGTGTTCTCAAAGTGAGTTCTGGTGAGGGTTGCATAACTTTGAATATTTACTGAAAATCATTGAACTTTAAATGGATGAATCTTGTGATCTGTGACTTATACCTCAATAAAACTGTTCTTAAAAAGAGAGGAGTGCGTATGAGTCTGGAATACCAGGGAAGGGTAAAATCTGGATATAAGAGTAAGGGGTCCTCAGTAAGCCCTTGAGATCACTCAGAGGGGGTGGTGTGGACAACAGGAGAGGAGCCGGGGTGTGCCTCCTGTGGGTATTCCAACATGCAGAGGTCCAGGTAGGGCAGATGAGGAGGAGACAGCAGTAGAAAGGGAGGAACAGCCTGCAGGGCAGGAAGGACACCTGGAAAGTGTGGCACCATGAAAATCAAGAGAAGAAAGCTTTATGAAAAGGGAGTGGTTATAAGAAGGAAGAGGTCAGGAGGGATAAGGGCAGAGAAGACCACTGGATTCAGCCACAGGGAGATCTCGGTAAGAGCAGTCTCAGCCCAGTGGTGAGGACAGAAGGCTGACTGCAATGGGCTGAGGGGAGAACAGAGAAGAAGAAGCAAAAGTGCCCGTAGACAGCTACTTCAGGGAGTTTTGCTGTAAGGACAGCAGAGAAGTGGGGATGTGGCTGGATCGATGGAAGGGTTAGAAGCTAGGTCATGCATATCCGGAACATTTTAAATGCTGTTGGAAGAGAGGAGATTGGTGGCACTAGAGAGAGGAGACGCTTACAGAAACTGAGACCCTGAGAATGGCAGAGGGGATGGAACCTAGAGCGTGAGGAGAAAGTCTGGGCCTTGGCAAAAGCAGGATGGTTCTTCCAGAGAACCAGGCGAGGAAGTAGAGAGCGGACAAGGGAGGGTAGGTGGTGGGTCTCATAGAGGTAGGCAGGTGGAGAACCCACCTTACCGATTTCCTTTTCCAATGAAGGGAGTGAGAAGATCTTCAGCTGAGCATGAAGGCAGGAGCAGGGTTGAGGGGCAACAAGAAGGTGCCTTATGGCTGGTATCCTTCATAGCCCGGCATATGACAGGGGCTCAGTCAATCTCTGTTAACATTAAACAATGCAGGGCCTCTCAACTTTGGTGTGGCATAGAAGTGATCACCTGGAGTGGTTGTGAAAACGCAGATTTCTGGGTTCTTATCTCAGAAATGCTGATTCAGGAGACTCAGGAGAGACATAAAATCTGCATTTATAACCAGAGCCCCAGATGTTTCTGATGCAAGTGGTCAGCAGGCTGTTGTTTGAGAATCCCTGAAAAACGTTTATGTGAACAATAAGAGGTGTGTGAACATAGCCCTACGGGTAGAAGACTTTTCATAAAGAATAAGATGCAGTTCTTCAACAGACCATACCTTAGGCAGAGATTTCACAAATAATTCAGATAAGTTGTGTTTTGTTTTTGTTTGTGTTTTTTTAAGAAGAGTGGTGTGTGTGTGTGTGTGTGTGTGTGCTTTAAAGCAATTAAACATCAATGTATACTTTTCTTTCCAGGCGAGAGAGCAGAATGCGGCACCACCAGGTGAGAGCCAGAGAGCCAGCGGAGAATCTTGTTTTCTTTCACCCACTGCCTGAGGTCGGGAGTGGGAGTGGGGGAAGACACTGCTGAGAGCTGGAGAAACCCGGATGGCTCTTCGCCAGTGTCCCCACGGGCTGGTGTGGGTGTGCCGAGGGAAGGCACACGGGCAGTAGGACCGCCTGGCTTGTCCTAGCATTAGACTGGTGCAGCCATACCCCTGCAGGCTGACAGTGGGGAGGGGGCTCTTTCAGAGCTGCTGGGGCAGTGGGACATCTTCCCTTTGCGCTGTCGATCAGCGGGGGCAGTACTATCTGTTCCTGAGTGACTGAGAGCAACCAGTAGAGGCTGGAGATTGTGGGATGGCTGATGACCTCTCTCCCCATCTGCTACATGGCTGCTGAGCAAACTGTCCAGCCTAGGTGGGAGGCCAACGTGGGGTCTCCAAGAGCCAAGGCTTTGGGTCAGGCTGAGATTGTGCACTGCTGGGCATATGCATGTGCATATACACAGGGATACGCAGACACGCCTGCCTCTACACCCAGGCTTGGACCCCACGGGCACTTGGATGGGTTGACGGAAAGTAACACACGGGCAACTTCTGCTTCCTCTCTAGCTTGTTCAGCTTCACCCTTTGCGCTTGTCCCTGAGCAGATCAGAGCCAGTGAACACTCTCCACTCAGTGGCCCAGCACTGACTTTCTTTCCCTTTCAGCAAGTTTAGCTCCAACCGCCGCTCTGCTACCATGCAGGCTGTTCCTAACAGCCCACTCATTTCTGACTTCCCAGTAAGAGCTATCGTGCCTGACAGCTGGAGTTCAGCCAGGGGCCCAGAGGCCTGTACTCTCCATCCTGTGGCAGTCGAGAGCTACTTTTTGCCTTCTTTCTGGGCCCAGGCGCCCCCAGTCCCGGAAAGCTGTTGTGTTTGGCAAGAGCAAAGATGAACCCTCAACTTTCTCCTGCTCCTCAGGAATGGAGGCAGGGAAGAGGCTGGGAAAGCGCTGGGGTTTCCAGTTTCCTGGGTCTGGGATGAAAAGATGTGGGCTCTCCAGAAGTTCAGTCTGTGCAGCTGTTCCTCTGGGCTCCGGCAAGTTGGGAACATCAAGATGATTCACACCAGGAGAGGCCCTTCCAGCACAAGGGGCAGCAGATGTGCCGGGTCACTTTCGAAGAACCTTTTAGAAACAAACCCAGTATAATTTTTTTTTTTTTTTTCTGGCAAGAGGATGCTGTCATCGTCCCCACACAACAGAAACCATATTTTACACCAATTTCTGCAAACAGTGAAACAGATGTGGGACGGATTGATCTGTCCCTTGCTTCTTCCTAATTCCTAGAACTCATGCAGAGTAGATTGTTCCAGCAGATTGCAGGAGACAGATCTGTCATCAAACCCTTGGCCAGATCTCAGGGTCCTCCCTCAGGGGAAAGTTGAGGGGTTATTTTGCTTTGCTTTGTTTTTAAATAAAGCCCTCTGAGGTGTTGTCTTCCACACCCCCCTTGACCTAGGGCCTGGGAAATCCAAGCTAAGATTACCAGACCTCCCACTTAGATATCCTGCACTAAACTGCAGCCACATTAAGTTGTAGACCTAGCCCTGTGTATCCTGGCTCCTGGTCAAGTTCAAAGGCAACTTTGCTAGTAAACTAAAAATCTTATCTCCAAAATAATTATTTAACTTATGGAAATTGCTGCCTACAGTGTCTCTATCTTATGGCTTTCTCTGTACCTTCCATGGACTCCTGCACATGGTTGGTGTCATTTAAGCAGCTTCCCTCAACCAAGTTGTTGTTGACCTTGTATAGATGGACCATTCTTGCACACCAGCTGCAGTGTGTTATAGTTTTCTCACTCTTAAGACCCTTATCTTAGAATAGCCCAAATTCATAACAATCTTTAATTTAGTCTGGCCAAACATGATAATGCACTTAAAAAGTGTATTATAAATGGCAAAGCAAGATGCAAATATAAGGCTGGATTATTGTGATTCATATAAAAGTCTGGCTCCCCTTACCCAGGTTGGCATGTCTCTGTGGTCTGGATTAGAGGTGAAGTCACTTGAGACTTTGTCCAAAGAGATGCAGCGTGGTATGCACCCATGCACAGCCTGGAGCCCAACCCCCATTGAACTACAGTATTGCCACATTTGGGATAGTGACCTTCATGTCAATTGGATTGTCTAGGGAAATTTTTACTCACATCCTTTTAGTCATAGGATAATTTTGAGGCCAATTCCTGTGTTGCCGATGTGTGTTAATTTTCATCTTTGTTGAAAGGCAGAAAGGGGACATTGGTCTCTGGTTTCTCTTTCTTCCTTTCTGTGGCTTTCTCTATTCCTGTTTTCCCTGCCTCTCTCTCTCTCTCTCTCTCTTCCTTTCCTTTTTGCTCTGCACCTGAGCAGCAGAAGAGATGGAAGGCTTAGGCTGCCCCACTTTCCTTGGCTGAGCTGCCCCCCTGCTCCCCACTTTGTGCCCCACCCAGCACTTCAGTAAGTCGATATGGATTGGATGTCATGCGAAGTTGGGATAGCTACGTTTCCTTGTCAGAGATTCCGTCAATGCACAGAGCCCCACACAAAGAAAGAAATCTTGGTGTGATTCACACAGTCCTTTGCTTTCCGGCTCAGGCAGAAAAAAAAGGGAAGACATCTTCTGTTTTCCCTTCATTCTACTTGGCAAAATTAAAGAGAAAAAAAGCACTTATGACTTCTTTTAAGGAAACCCTTCAGTTGGGCACCCCCAAATTTTTGATATTGGATATCGAACACCTGCATTAAGAGTCTCCCCTCTTGCTGGCCATGGAAATTTATTAGATAATTCAATACTACTACTGGATGTCCTATAATAAAACCACTTTCTCAATTTCACACTTACACTGGAGCTTTGAGTAGGAAGAGCTGAATTTGACCCCAGCCTCAATTACATTTTATTTGTGTGACCTTGGGCAAGCGTGTTCATCTCTCATAGGCTCATTGGCCTTGCGTGTAAATGGGTTTAATAATTCTTGCCCACCTCACAAGGTTGTTGTGGGGTCCTTATGCAATGTGAGATAAGGAAATGATCTGGGAACCTTCAAAAACAGAAACCCAAAACACTATGAAAAGAAAGTGACAATATACTGCTATCCTTGAGTTATTTCTAATCTCAGAACTTAAAACCTGTGGCCTTGTGTCACATTTCTGGTACCCGCTTTTGCCTTTGGAAATCTGAAAGCAGATTCACTGTAAGAAATTCCACCCCCTACATACATCCATCCCCAAAAAACTGGTAATTTTTGAAAAAGAAATGACATGGACTTAGCTAACCAAATTGACATAGACCCAAGATGGGCTTGAAATAATCTTGCCTGTTGTTTCTTTTCAAAATTTTGATCTGTGCTGTTATTTTGGTTCCATTTTTTGGGTGGCATGATATTTGGATTCAATTGTGTCTTTGCCCATGCATGTCCTGGAGCCAGCAGCATTTGCTCAATGCTCAAACACCTGGCAGAAGTTGGCTAGAGTTCCCTAGGTGACTGGGCTGCTGTAGGGGACAGGGACAACAAGCCCAGTAAGCAGAAGCAACACAGACCTCGATTATCTTGATTGGCTGCATGATCCAGAAGATTTCTTGCCCATTCACAGAAGTCAGTCAAGACTTAGGGGGACCAAGTCATTGCTTGTCGTGTGTGAACTTTGTCTGTGCCTGGCTAAGTCCCTACTTGTTGCTCCCCAAATTTTGAGTCAAGTCATTTGAAAAGGAACTGCCTCTCTTGGTTAGGGGTGCTCTTCCTAACCTCAAAGAGCGCTCTGCCCCAGAAGGCTTGGCAACATTGACTCGGGCCAACTTGGGTGGCGAAATGAGCAAATAAGCCCACACAGGTATTGCATGGTGAGCCATTCCGGAAATGGGCCCAGTGTTTGTGGCTGTCTCACTGTCCCTGATGAACCGTTGTGTGCTTCCCCTCCCTGTGGCCAAGAGTACAGCACACTTTCGGAATGGAGATCCTAAAGTAAAGCAAGACACTTTCAACCTGACCTCATGGCAAGGGTGAGTGGGTCAGATGAGTCCTCAGCAGGAAATGGAAAGGTGCCCTAAGACCCCATGACTGACCAGGTAGGAAAAACCCTGGACTTGGAGCCAGAGATGTCTGGGTTTTGGGCCCAGCTCTGTTTGCACTCCTTCAGGGGAAGCTTCAGTTTCTGCCTCTCTGAAATGGGGCCATACATGAGGGGACGGGGTGGCTTAAGTGCAATAATGGATTTGAAAGCACTTTAATTGAAAGTATACTTGACGAAAGGACAGGATATTATCATCATCCCGGGTCACCCGGGGACCCCATGGCAGCCTCCCTCGTGGCATTGGTTTCTTCATCTCTGAAATGAGAATAATAATTGCCTGGCTCTGAGATCAATGAAATAAAGATTAGTCAAGTGCAATGTGCAAAGTGAAATGCCAAGAGGCATTAGGAAGATCAGTACCCTGGCACATTGGGAATTGAGGCTTGGTGATAAATTTAAGCCAAAATAGTGAGAATTAACCCTCCCAAATCACTTTTGAAAGTCTCTTGCTTTCTTGGGCTACAGATTACATCTCTCTCCCCTGATTCCCCCTCCATCTGGTCAGCTTTGCAGGATGACAGCCTCTGATTGGAGTTTCAGTGGTTTCTCGGACACATACTATTTTTCTCCCCGAAGATTTAGAATGCCTTTGTGTTATGTAAGAGTTGCTCCTGCTCGCACCATGGGTAAATTAAGATCCCCTAAAACATCCAAAGGCCTTCAGATGGAACATTGGATACCAATGTGATGGGGGGGTCAGGGGCTCCATTTGCATTTTATGTTCCCCTCCAGACGTGGGTTTTAAGAACGTCTTTCCCAGTTGTATGTTTATGTTGGTTGCTTTCTTGATTTCTTTTGTTCCGTTTTCCCCTAGGCCCCCCTGTCTTCCCCCTAAACCACAGAAAATGAGGAGACCTAGGCCTCTTTCAGTGTATAGCCATAAACTCTTTAACGGCAGTATGGAAGCG